ACATTATCAAACAACATACTTAATTAAAAAAATATTTTTTGTTGGCAAACAAATGTATTTTAAAAATAAATATAATGTACTGCAAATTATTTGACAAAAAGTATTTTCATAAATCATATTTCATCAAATATTATACTCAGAGGACAAAAATATATGTTCATAATTCATATGTTCATCAAACAAAATATTTATTTTTATATAATCATAGTTCATAATAAACACACATGTTCAACATTAAATATATACTATTTCACTAAATATTTATTGATTTATTATTACTATTAATATATTTTTCCTCACCTAGCCTTTTTGGCCAAGTCTCATGCTGCTGGGCAAAAGTTGGCTTCCCCATTCCAACAACAACACAAGGTGTGCATATACATACCAAAACTTTGCTACATAAAACATGACATATTCTGTACCTAGTGTGTATACAAAAACTCTGGGGAAGCCAACACCCTGGTGAAACCATGCATGCTTCCACTTTGAATTCACCCTTTTTCAAGGGTCACTTCCCTTTTTCAAGGGTTGGGCTGGGCTTCAGGGGCAAGGCCCTTTTTCAAGGGCCACCAGGGCTTGGTCACCTTTTTCAAGGTGTCCTGTCCTTCAGGTACTGCTCCACTGCGTCAGCAAACGACCAGAAGGATGTGCCCTGGTGGTTCTTGCCCCAGGCTTTGATGGGGTATCCTTCCAAACCCCATTCCAAAGCCTCCTGGATGACATCAGGCTGGTCATCAAACACAGCCTGTGCCCCCAGATAGCAAGCCCAGTCCACCTTCCCTTCAGCACCTACCATTTTGTAGATGCATCTGAAGCTCTTGACCTTTTTCAAGGTCTCAGCTGGGAGCCACTGTTGGATGTCCTGCATGGTTTTTTCAAACCTTGCAGAAGAGCCCACCCAGCTGATGATGTGCACATCCACCGCCAGCATGAGGGTCTCCAGTGCCACCACATTTTTGTGGGGCACTGCATCCTTCTCCTCCAATGTGTTGTGCCAGTCCACAACAACACATGGCCTCTTTTTCAAGGGCTTGGAGGAGGAGCTGGAGCTGTCAGCCACCTTTTTCAAGGTGCTGGGTGCACTGGGTGCACTGTCTTCCTTTTTCAAGGAAGGGTCAGTCTCCAGCTTCAACTGGGACAGCTGCCTAGTGAGCTTCTGCTTCAGGGCAGCTTCCCTTGCAGCTTCCTCAGCAGAGGACAGCCTGGTCCTGCTCTGGGACCTGGACCTGGGCCCCTTCTTCCCCCTCAGGGTGAGCTTTTCCAGGTCTTCTTCAGCCTTTTTCAAGGCCTCAGTGTCCTCTGCTTCCTTTTTCAAGGCTTCTTCCAGCTGCCTTTCAGCTGAGGTCAATGCCTTTTTCAAGGCAGCAACCTTCTCCTGCAAGCTCTCAGAGCTGATGCAGGGAGGGTCAGCATGGGCCAAGGAGGTCCATTGCTGCCCTTGTCTCTGGGCCCTTCTGCTCTGGCTGGTGGTGCCAGAGCCAGAGGACCTCTCCTTGCTGTTGGCCATAGCTTCTTCAAGCTGGGCCTCCTGCTTTTTCAAGCAGGCTGGCTTTTTCAAGCAGGCTGGCTTTTTTCAAGCCCTGCTTTTTCAAGCCAGTTCTTTTGGCTATTTTGCCAAGTTTTGCACAAACTTGGACAAGGTCAGTTTTTTCAAACTGACCTTAGGGCCACTTTGGACCACCTTGGCAGGCTACAGGTGGGCCTAGGTTGTTTGCCCTAGTGTTGTGTATTGTGTGGTATTTTGTGTCTCTGTGTGAAGTGTGCTCTTTTGTAGAGTGTGCAGTGTGCTGTGCAGTGTGTAAGTTGTGTAAGTAGTGAACTGTGCACTGTGTGAGCTGTGAAGTGTGGAGTGTGGTGGTGCAGCTGCGCCCAAGCATGCTAGCTTCATGAGCCAAACAGCTGCAGAGACATTGTGTTCTTGACATGCTTCAGGTGGCACCCATGTGGTCTAAACTAAAAACACAAACATATTTGGTGGGACAGGGTGTCACCTGAAGCATGCCCAAGTCATGCAGAGCCTGTGCCATGGAAGCCTTTTTCACACACAGGCACCCTATCCAAAACTTTGTACCTTTTTCAAGGTACATCATTCACACCTATATACACTGTGGCACAGGAACTACACCTTTTTCAAGGTGTTCCTTGACTTGTGGATTTTCCTTTTTCAAGGAAATTCTGCACACAAGTCTTCCCTCATCTGGAGGGCCTCCTCCTTTGTGAGGTGATCCTTCTCCAGTGACTCTTTGATCCTGTCTACCACCCAGCTGTATTGGAGGCTTCTGGTCTTTGCCACCTCCACAATCAAAAACTTTTTCTGCTCATTGCTATGGCTACCAGTCAGATAGCACCTGGGTGGCTTTTTAGCTGTTGTCTTAGAAAGCTTCACCCAAGGCTTCCTGGTCTCCTTTTTCAAGGAGACCTTCTTTGCATGCACCTTTTTCAAGGAGCCTTCCTTAGCAACTGCCTTTTTCAAGGCTGCAGCTGGCTTTTTCAAGACACCCAGTGCTGCCTTCAGGTCTTCATGCCTGGTAGGTTCAGCCTGGTGTTTGCTGCCTGGCCTTTTTTGTTTCCACAGCCTTGGTGGACTTGCTTTGGGGCTAGCCAGCATCTTGGGGAAGCCTGCAGAGTCCACAGAGACATCGCTTGCAGTGGACTTGAGCTTCCTGCTATTTGGGGAGACAGCAACCATGGGCTGCCCATCTCCCCAAACAACTCCCTTTTTCAAGGGGCTGCCCTGCTTCACCTTTTTCAAGGTGCCTTTGCTGCTGGCAGTTGCCTTCAAAGCTTTGCCCTTTTTCAAAGGCTGCCAATCCTTTTTCAAGGAACCCTTGCTGCATTCACCTGCCTGTGCTGCCTGTGACCCACCTTTTTTCAAAGGCAGGGTCTGCCTCAGCTGAACCTTTTTCAAGGTTTCAGTGAGTTCTTGGAACTCCTGGGCAGTCAGGGCAGAGACAACACTGGGTGTGGGCGTGTTCCTTGCCAGTTTTCTGACATGGTGAAGCAACACACCCAATCGCTCTGCCCTGAGGTTGACAAACACAGCTCCATTATATTTGGAGGTGTTCAGCTCAGGCTTCTCAGTGATGAGATGCAGCAATGCAGATCTCACCCCTTGGGGATGGATCTCAGCTGACCCCTCTATATCCACCAAGGCATTGATGAGGGGGAGCATCTGGTGCATAGCTTTGGGGTTGACAGCACTGTTCCTGCTCAACTGCTCATACCCCTTCATGTCCATCACCAGATCTTCATGGTCACAAAGGACCTTATACAGCAAACCTTGATCAATCAAAGGTTTGCTGAAATGCCTAGCCCCTCCTCTGCCAGACATACCTTTTTCAAGGTAGTTGTGGGCTTTCCTTTTTTTCTCTAGGATCTTATATACCTTTTTCAAGGTTAAGGGCTTTCCCTATAGAGCTTTATACAGAGCACCTCTTGAGCCAAAACTCCAAGCAGCATGCACCCCAAAAATCAATATTTGGGAACAAAAGTTTCAAGGCAAAAATCAAACAGAAAATCAATATAAAATCTGACTATTTTAAGAACTTCTAGAGCTTATAAAAATCAAAAAAAATAAAATCAATCAAATCAATATATTCAATCAAATCAAAATCAATCAAAAAAGACAGAAGTTTATTGATCAGAATCAAGATTCGATGCTCAGGGCACCTATGGACCCGCCCCTCAGGGTGCCTGGTGTCTGCTTTCCTCCATGGTTTTTTCACTCCATGGTCGACTAGGCTCGGTGGCGGTTTTGCATGGGTACCTTCCCGGTCTGACAGAACTTGATTTCTCGAATACAACTGGAGGAAAAGCCAACCAACAGGCAAATTTGTGCCAATGCGTGCAAGGTGTGGTTTCCCATGTGTAAACCATTGCGCCTTTCTTGCTTCGGTGATGAAATTTTCCTCGCCACTTTCAGTCACAGCAGTGTACCCATTGTGGTTTTTGGCGCCTTTGCACACTGCTGTGGTGATTCTTGTGTTCCATTTTTTACCCGCCCGCCTCCCTAAACTTGGAAGGTTCAGATTGGTCTCTCATTTGTTTTGCGTGAGTGTGGTCCATTGTTTTTGGGGCCGGGGAGTGGATAGTGTGGACCCCCAAGCTCTGACAGAGAATCTGGTCATGTATAGCAGGTCATGCCTTTTGACTTTGACCGATTTTCCCCACACTATCAGCCATTGGCTAGAAAAAGGCAGCGCGCCTGTGCGATGGCACTTTTGGGATGGGAGAGAGGTTTCGAGCTGTGGGCCCGAAAGGTTTTGTTGCTGGAGGGCACCCTGTTTAAGGTTTCCTTTTCTAAGGGCACTCACCATGCGTATCTTGTAGAACGTGACAGCGGCCCTGATGGAAGAACTATTTTGGGGCGCCCAAGTTCAGCGATTTTTTTCGGAGAAAATGATCCATAATAAAAGCCTCCCTAAACCCGCACTGGTCATACAAAAGTTGTTAAACACTGACGAGCGAACGACATGAACGAGCAACCAGAGCAAAGCCACCAGAGCTACCCAGACAATGGCAACAGCTGTCACAGCAATACACAAAATACCAGGTACCCACATAGTAGTTCAAGATCGTTTCGTATCCACGTAGTTACGCTCATAGTCTCTTCTCTTTTTGTTCCCCAAATAGGTTACTGTCAGGGGTTCTCAAAGTTTTCTAAGAGTGTCCGCCTTCCTGCGTCCCTCATGTCTCCCTTCTGTTTCCTTTTGTCTCCCTTGTTGTCTCCCTTCTTGTTGGTCATTGTGTCCGTTTTGTATCCTTTTTGTTTCCCTTCTTGTTGGTCATTGTGTCCGTCATGTCATGTCTCCCTTCTGTTTCCTTTTGTCTCCTTCTTGTCTCCCTTCTTGTTGGTCATTGTGTCCGCCTTGTTTTCCTTCTTGTCCCCGTCATTGTGTCCGCCTTGTTTTCCTTCTTGTCCCCGTCTTAAAATGGACTTGGGAATGCTTCTTTGTTGCCCCACCTGTTTGGGGTCTACAGTGGTGTACTTCCGCTCTAAGGTGGTGCTCCCTGGCTGCGCTACTTCGTGGTTTTGCTGAGACGCTACCAGGAGAGCCGACCAGCGACACCAGCGACAGAGTTCACTTTCCCGAGTTTCCAGCATTCTTGAGACTTCGTGCGGAGGAAAAACATACACGCCAGCTCTGACCTTCCCAACATATTTAGATTTATATAGATTTATACACATATATATATATATCATGCGTTTTTTGTTTCATTTTCTTACTAATTTCACATCCATTAAATTGGGGTATCCTTGAAGTGCATTGGCATGCCGCATGTTGGACACTGCTTCTTGCCATGCGATACATGGAGTAGCCTACTATATAACAGAATATTATATAGGTCGGAAGGCTGTCGCATGTTTCCTCAAATGCCCCCCCGCTGACACTTTTTGGGCCTTCTTGATCTGTCAGGATCATCCTACAGGCTACGTCTCTGTGGACATGGAGGGATTTGATTTGGCGCTCCAGCAAGCCCTGCAAACACCGCCGGTGGTCTAGCCATGTCCAAGAAACAACTCTCGCCTGGAGATGTTTTCAAGATTTTTCAAGCTGTACATACATTGCCCTCTTGGCCGCTCATGTAGAAGAAGATCACCAAAGTATATGCTGCATATAGTATAATTTTAATACACATACATAAGGATGTTTTTTGTTCATCAATATTTTCTATATAGCCTTTTTGGAGACCCTATATACGATGTTCTTCTTCTTTGGTGGCCAAGATGGTGGTTTTCAATGCAAACGGCTTCCGACTCGCGTCCCAAGGACCGCGGGGATTTCGCACGGGGCGCACGCGTTGTAGGCAGCGCGAGACACAGCATCAAAGCGTGGACGCCCCGTGGGTATATAAACTTGGGAGTTGATGTTTGGTGTCGGACATTTTCGCAACATGAATGGGCAAGAGTCAAGTTTCAGAATGACAAGTAGATCCTCCAAGTAAATTTTATTGGACTATGGACTGGTGCTGATGGACCTGAAAAGATCTGCCACCCTCTCAGAGACTCCGTCCGACAAATCTCTCAGAGACGAGTGAACCCCGTGGACCGTAGCAGGTCTGCAAGCTCTTGGACGAGGTGAACTTGGGCTTCAGCAAACCGGAGTGACCCGCGGCAGCCTGCTGTTCCCTTTTTCGACTTCCGATCGCGAGGTTCAGTTCGACAGGTTTTTGGGGGGGGAGGAAGACCATGGCTACCATTGGGGACCGGTGTGTGAAAGATACGGTTCCTCATGCAGTGTCAGGTGGTGTTTTGGAGGCAGCCATGCGGGTCAGATGTTCTTTAACAGGACCCTGATGTACCACATGTCTCGTGTAGAGCTCGCCATGATTGTCAGTGGATTGTGCGGTGCAGATTTCCCATCCTTAGCGTCAGACAACTTTCGGGCGGTGATTCAATGCGTGCATAGGATAGATGGCATGTCCATGCATCCCCGTCCGATTTGGTGCGTCAGAGGGATTGTCAGATTGGCATGTCTAGAGTTGAAAGGATTGTACGAATTTCAAGAGTATTGAACATTCCAAGAGTATGCATTGTTTTGGGATATGACTTGCAGACGCAAAATCAGGATTGTCTCTCAACATAAGCCAGAAACGACAAACATCAGGTGGCTCTGTACATTAGTTGTCAAATCTTCATCATGAAAACATCTTGCAATCACATGCAATCACACCCGTACAGACGTACAAGACAAGCACAGAATCCTAGAGACGACCACCGTCGAACAGATCTCGGTTGCTTCGCCAGTGCGTATCGCATTCCAAGGCCCAGGGTTCTCTGGGGGATTGGTTTCATGCCGACGATTGGTTTCACTCCGAACATCGTTTCATGCACTTTTCTGCGAAGTTTCATGAACAGAGCCAACGTATCGAAGAACATATATCACCTCGTTCAATTGGCCCACATGGCCGGAGGCATGGCCAGAGGCAGGGGAGGCTTTCCGAACGTGAGGAGGGTCATTTCGGAAAGACCCTCAATTCGACAGAAACAGGGTTTCTGTAGTAGGCACGGTTAAGGCACATGGTTTTTGGTCAATAGAAAGATTGGTGACCTCTGAACTAGTGAGAAGAAGTGGGACCATAGATCCACATGGATTCACTCCTAAGACCAGCACCTCCAAGAGAGTCACAGAAACAGGAAGCTACTAGTAACAAGTGCATCGCTACTAGTAACAAGTGCCTTAGTAGTAGTAACAAGAAGCTACTAGAAACAAGTGCCTTACTACTAGTAACAATAAGAATTGAATTTGAATTCTAATTACTAGCAAAGGAATCTATAGGACCTTTTCCTTCGAATCAGCTTTCCTGGTTCCTCAACCGGAGCGCTGGCCACGTTGGGACGCAGGGAGGGGCGGTCGAGATGATCGGTCTGGGAATGAATCTGGAAAGCGGACAGGAAAGCAAGGGAGGTAGAACAGACAGAATGATTCATGATGAAGAGAATAACTGACCAGGTAAATGAATCATGTCATGAATGATGGAGGTAGAATGGTGACCAGGATCGATGAATCCTTTAGAGATGACAGGACATGATTAGACGAGTCGGATGAGGGGGTTGAGGAGGGATGGTTCAGCAGGCCAAGGTCTGGTGCAGAACTGACCCGTTCTCTTGGGAAAGCGTGTGAGCCAGTCAGATGCGTCAGACGGGTTCTGAACAGGTCAGTCTAGCAAACCTCAAGTTGCCAATATGCCGCTCAAATGCTGTGGTGGAGAAATGCGCTGTTGTCAATAATTACTTCAATTACATAGACTCCGTGGTAAGACAATTGAGCAACACTTCCCAGCAACTGATTCTGGTTTCCTGGCACTGAAGGCCTCGGCCCTCTATGTCTCGGAGCTCGGGCCGCCCAGTGGGGGCGCCGGTGCCCAGGGCCCAGGGCAGGGTGCCCACCGGGTGAAGCAGGATGTCACTCTTTTGGGGAAAATTGAACACATCATGGCAGTAGTGAATGTTGTTCATAGTTCAAACCCTCATGTGAGGAGGCTTTACCATGCACATGGGTTGTTTGATTGATCAACAGTCTACATTGTGACTGTTGGGGCGCTAGTAGTGGTTCATTTTGGTGTTGGGTGTTAGGGCGGCGTTCCTTGTGTATGAGGTCTTGCCTTTGGCAGCCGTTATCGAGTTTTCTTTGGTCCAAAGGGTGGCCGCAAAGATGTTTATCAAGTCAATCAAGGCCCACTGTTGCTCAGGGTTCCACAGATTACTATATATGGTATATACATATGCTAATCCCTATTCCGTTCATCTTGGGGTGAGGCTGCATGTTTTTTGACGCAGTGCCATGCATGACGACCACAAGCTTCCTTCTGATAAGACCTATTAGTTTCTCCGAATCATTCGGCCACTTTATCCAAAATCCGAACGAAAACATCAACAGACCCTTCCAGCAACATGTTTTTTTCATTTTGCTTATAGGAAAGATGGGAAAGTATATCTTAAGATGCAACAACTTCAATTTGCTGGTGTGTGCTGGTGTGGCTGGGCAAACAATTTGGTGAGGATCTTTGATTGGTGGTAGCCCGGTAGCCCATTTGTCATGGATGCAGCTAAGCTCACACTCACAAGATCTCACGAGTACGACTGACATTCATTCAGGCCGCATCAATCAAGCCATCATTTTCCGTGCCATCATTTGATTCAAAACTGAGACAAAGATTCAAGTAAGTTGACTTCATAACACATCCACCCCTTGTCCGGCAAACATGTTTGACGCTCTAGAGGGGAAGTGGGTCAGACATGATCGGACATGATTGGACGAATGTACCTACACACTTTGACATTGGGTTTTCAGTTAACTCAATTCCCCGAGAAGAGGAATGGCTCAACGGCAAGGTGAAGCGTCCGATCACTTGAATGTGTTTGAAAAAAAAGGTGTTTCTCTTGATGCATGACTGCAGAAAATTGGTTACTGATTACTTAGCAGACCGAATTAACGCCGTGCATGGAAACCTGGTTTGGGGGACGTATCATGAAAAAGAAAGAAAGAAAAACAGAAAGAGCAGCGCTAAAAGGGCAGGAGAGAAAGATAGGTGTAGCAAAAGGTGAACACTTAGCCCTTGACTGGGGCAGGGAAACGAGCCTCAAGAACCACCTAAAAGGCCTGAAAGAAAGCGAAAGAAACGACGAAAAACGCAAGAAAGAAAGCGGGGGGCAGGGAGGGGGTGTATGTCCATGTGTGCGGTACATGTGTGTGTCTGAATACTTAGCATTAGGGACTTTAGTCTTAAACTGCCCGGGTAGAGTAGACTAGAACAGGGACAACAGAGGGAAAGGCACCGACACACAAGTGTGTCGAGTACCATTTCCCTCTGTTACCCTAATTAGGTGGGGAGTAGAGAACGGGGGGGGGGGGGGGGTTGTGTGGGGTCATTCTCCGTATGCCCGGCGGCTTTGACTTTCCGTATACCCGCCGGTCGTAAAAATCGTGGTGCCCGGCGGCTTGGATTTTGGGAATACAGTGGTGAAACAAAGTCGATTAAGATAATCCAACGTGTGCGGAAAGCAACAAAATCGGTTAGTGATACTCCGGCATGAAAACAGTGCCCCAGTGACGGGGATCACACCCTGCACCCAAGTGGGACGGCAGAGCGGCACACACTTTGACATTGGGTTTTCAGTTAACTCAATTCCCCGAGAAAAGGAATGGCTCAACGGCAAGGTGAAGCGTCCGATCACTTGAATGTGTTTGAAAAAAAAGGTGTTTCTCTTGATGCATGACTGCAGAAAATTGGTTACTGATTACTTAGCAGACCGAATTGACGCCGTGCATGGAAACCTGGTTTGGGGGACGTATCATGAAAACCACCATGAAAGCGCAAAAGAGAGTAGAACAGCTTGGACAACAGTTGATCGCAGGTACGTTTGCACCCGGGTGGGGGGGTGTCTTCGTTGGCCGGAGACCCCCCCGCCTGGCTCCGGCCCCCTGCATGTAAAAACTCTTGGAAACAGAGTGTGACACACACACACACCAGGCTGGGAACTCAGACAAACCTTCTCAAAGTCGAGGACGGCTGTTGCAGTTCAACAGTTCATGTGTTTGGTACCAGGACAAATCTGTACGATCGGCTTGTTTTGTTGAGGCACAGCCACATTTGCTGGGTTTTTGTGCAAATCTTTGAGATTGTTGGTCCGAGGTTGTAGGCCTCAACTTCGCCCAGTGGTGATGTTTCTTCGGCAGTCAGATGTTCACTTACGGTAGTGCTCAGTGAATATGAACAGCTGGGGGTGGTATCCCAATGATTCCAACGATCATTGCCTTTGGGGACTTTTAGACCGTTGAGTCAACCTTCAGCCCTGTGAGTTCCCTTACAATGGCCTTGACGCAGAGATGCCCCATGCATTCAGGGACTGAATCCTCCGTTTTGCCATGGCCTTCACCCTTCGCATACCTGGCGTGTTTGTCGGCGAAAAAACACGTTGCACCGGTGTTCTAGAATACATTAGGAATCATTAGGATACATACCTCAAAGTTTCAACTCTTAAAGGGAAAGGACCTTGGACTGAACACAGTGTTTGGTTTCAACACCAAGCAAACAACTTTTGGATACAGCAAACAGCGAACAGCGTGGTCACCATCGGCGACCGAGTCGCTCCAGATCGCGA